TTTGCAATATAATTAGAGTTCTTTTCTCCTCCTCCCCCACCGAATCTTTCACCAAGTCAACAAACACATCCCTCAAAGTAGATCCTTGGACTGTCTAGGGCACCTCCTGCGCTTTTGTACATTAGTGTTAGTATCATCCTGTATTAGTAGAACAAACTGGTAGAGTGATCGAAAGTTTTACGATTGAATCTGATAGAATTAAATCTCAATTTTTTGAAATAAAGTTTAATCAACAGATTATGGAGTTTTATTACTTTATATATTACAAATCGCTAACAATGCACATCACTTGGTCGCCAACTTGAGTTTTGGATCGAGCGATTTCACTAACTAGTATGAATCATTAACCAATTCGTTAAAAATTCAATTGCAACTAACTTCGATAGTCTAAACTCTAGAAACCACCCTGGAACCTCAGAATCACCCACCACTCCCGCTTCCACCTTCTCACTGCTGCAGATCTCTTCAGTTACACTTGAAACTATCGTGGGCGTGATACGGTCATCCAACACTACTACGCGAGATTCCATCATATCTCTGTATTCAAGAACCCTTCCAGGTTCGTCATCAGATGCCGAATGTCTAACAATGAATCTATCATGTGGACTATGGAGTTGGTGAAATTGCGAAGGAAAAAGGGAGATCACTATCGATCTAGGCTCACGAAAAGTCCACCGTTCTAGGAAGATTTGCATTCGTGGAAGACAGCCTTGACAACATTCGGGTGCCCCGTGATCGTTCGGGCGGTCATAGCAATTATTGTCATCATCATCGGCAGAAAGCATCCCACCTCATGACGAACGAAGGTAATTGACGAGGTAGAGCCGACTTTATGTGGTTTTGGTCACATGTTCACAAGTTCGATATACTGACACACAAATCTTCATCCATTGCGAGTCAGCGTGGATGTTACTTACATTGTGGATATCTAGATCAGTGCGGAAACACGTAAATTATGACGACTAGTGCTTTACATCATTATGCACCTGAGCTCTGAAGGTAAAGCACGAGCCCTCCCGGAGATCAGCTCTCCGACTGGCCGGCGTGGTGATCCGTTAAGCTGCACTCCGTGCTTTCGATAAAAGCTACAAGATATGGACGTGGCGGGTCAACATCGTCAAACAAGAGTTGCTCTGTCGAAGAGTTGAGCAACGTTGGGGAGCGGGGAAGGTGGTCGAACTGGACGCACCTTTCGACGTGGAGTTTATCCACAAGCCGAGATCGACCCGTTATCTGGAGCTATCTGCGATCCGGCGATGGTCCGGTGACCAGGACCGGGCCACCTGCTCTGCTCGACGTCCGACCGTTCGAGTCTTGAAAGCGAGACTGGACGGTTCTTTCGGCTGCCCGCACTGCTGCCACCGGAAGATTGACTCGAAGCTTGGACCTGCGAGATGACGAAGATTCGCAAGATCCAACCAGATCTTGTCTTCAGCAATGGGTATCCGGAATCCACCTTCGAGTGTGCTGAAAGTGATGTTGCCCTGTACGATGTTGGGAGTCAGTGCTCGTTGAACTATGGCAACCGACGCTTTGGCAATTACACATGTTTATGCTACTGAAGCCGTTTTGTGAGACAGTTTGTTCTCGCATCTGATCTTTCTCGATCAAAAGATCTGAAATTCTTCAGTGTAAGTACGAAGTTTTCAAAGAGTCCGTTGCGGTGATTCTTCGAGGACCGATTCCGAAGCTTACAGCGCAAGATACCTTTCATGGAAGAACTGCACTACGATCGTGAACTCACAGGCCTTTTCCATCGGAAGCCAAACTCGATCTACTGCAAGAATGTCGCGTTTGCACGACACGCGACGGACAATCGACCGCTCTAGAGCTGGAGTTCTGGCATCGCAAAGCAGAAACTGGAGGGCTTCTTTTGTCTAAACAGGCCCAAGTCTTTGCTGCGTGGACAAGCCGGAGGATTCCCCTCGTCAAAACCTTATTATACATACACCGAGAAAAACGACGAACTTGAACCCAGAAGCATCTGCAACACCATTGCCAATATCCACCATAAATGCTGTCTTAGAAGATCAGACCCATCAATCTCATGTCCATTCGTACAGAGTATCGACAGATTACTGGCCTCATGCATTCAGACAAGGCAATCTGCACGCACGCACGCACGCACACACACACACACACACACACACACACTGAGAGAGCAGCGCATGCGGGCTTCGAGCAGCCCGTTTTCCAGGGATTGTGCACTCTTAGATTTGCCGTACGTGCCGTGGTTCGAATCTGCTGCTATTGCGATTGCTCCAGGATGCAAAGCATTCACGGTCGTCGTCTCGCTCCTACCTACCCTGGACAAAAGCTGGCCACGGAGATGTGGTCAGATGATTCCCATAATGTGGTCATGTTCGTTTGCAAAAGTCAGAGGTCGGAATGTAATGTCTTGATTTGTCACTTTGACCTCTTCTCCTTCTCCATGTCCATCGCGCCTACGACTTCCGCAGCGAATCATGTATAAAAGACGTAGTATAATGGCGATCCAAGATAGGAAAACTCTCGATCATTCGCAGTCGCACCTGAGACCTCGACTATGTTTGAAGGTACCACCTTTGATGAATATAAGTAGTCGAACTAAGCAACTTGCCAATTTCTGCTTAGTTCATGGCTTCGTCTAATCTTTGTTTTGGACCGATAATGTTTGCAAAAACCATGGGAATACCCTATCAACCCGTACACTAGGAGTAGACCCGCGTAGTGCCTTAAAAGAATAATATTGGATAGCATCTGTAATATGCAAAACTCTTTGTTGAGAATATTTACAAGTAACAATCACATTTTATGTCTAATGAACTGAGTATACTTTCACCAACATCATACTGTATAACATAATATGTCATCTCTGCATAATTAATTACTATATATATATATATATATATATATATATATGATATGGTAGAGAAATTAGTTTATCTAGAGAGCTGAAGAGATTGTTTTATCTCTCGCTCTATTTCAACCTTGAAAAGCCTTGTTCATAATTGCATATAAATTAAATTTTAGAATAATTCGAGACATTTGTTCTCGCCGCTACATCAACTTTAGAACTTGGAATTGAAGTATAATAAATTATAGGGTTATCCTTTATTAAGGAATTCGGGTATGAACATGTAGGAGATTGTAGCTTAAACATTCGCCCACCACCTTTGCATCAAATAGTTCTTCCCTCCACCCGCAATTGTTGCCTCCACATGTGGATATATCTTATGAGAATTCAATAGAGTGCATAAAACGGGAGTGGGTAGGAAGTGGAAAATGGAAATTTGGATTATTTCATGCTGGAGAAACGGTGAAAGGCAGCAAAAGTGAACTCGGGAAGCTGTGTCTTCTTTAATGAAAAGTCATTAGAACAATTTTATCATCCATTTGTAGATTGGCATAGTACATTAAGTAATCTACCCATCAAGTACTTTAAGTGCTCAAATTTCTTGACAAATATCAAGGTTTATAATTTTTTAATTTGAGTCTGTCATGCAAAGTCCTTTGTCGCGAATTGAACATTTTTCCACGCTTGACATTCAATGTCAATTGCTTCTCATTTTGCAAAAACGTCTGAGACCATAATCGTAGTTTATTATCGATTTTCCATGAAGTAAGTTGATCGAGCCTGCTTCGGTCAAGCGGGTTATCAATCGGGTCAAGTTGCTTGAACACGAAAGAACCGCTTAAGTAAGCACTTTGAACCGGATTAGTTTGATGATGCTAGTGGCCTTATGCCTACTTGTATCATTCAACAATAGTTTGATCTCTTGTACTTAGTGAAGTTTATCAGGATGTGCTCTTACACACATCTTTGCTTTTCATAATCAATATCCATATATATCATCATTCGAGTGCTACGAGGTGTCAAGGCTATTAACAACATATAACGAGAACACACTAGTAAGGGAAAACGAATAGGGAATTCATTATTAAATGATATTATTGAAGCTAGGCTAAATACGTCATTTAGCAAGTATCTTGTCGTGAAACGATTGAGAGAACTTCGGAACATTATGAAAGACAATCGGTTCCTTGTATAAACCATGAGAGATTCACAATGTTTCATCATACAACTGTTTGCTTGAAAAAATTTAAGACGATAAATTGTGATCGTGTGTACACGAGTCTTCTACATTCTCACTTTCTCAAAGTTTTGAAATCTCTTCTCTCATCCCATGATTCTACGGATTTCTCAATGGCACCAATTTCATGGTCTTCACATCCTTCTCTATCTTAAACTTTGATAACTTGATGACATGCAGATTGATATCAATATTTCTGAAAACCTTATATACTTAGGCAAGTTTTAGCTTATTTGTAAACATCCTACATAATTGAAGGACTTTCAGTTAATCCAGATTAAACACTGTTCCACAGAAGAAGGAAGGTTAAGAAATATTTCATGAAATCTGAGTCACAGGTCGAAAAAATTCAGTCTAGTCAGTCCCAATTACTAAATAACGTTCAAGATTAGTAATTTCTACACGAATACACATAAAATATGTATCCACACTGTTCAATCATGTACTCTGAGTAAGTAATTCTCAGTATGTACACTGAAGTGTCTACGCTAGGCTTGCGCTACTCGACAAAGGTAGGTTCGTGATTAATAACCGAAATTTCTTACAAATCTTCGCATCCGCCAAGTGGGGATTTTTGTTCCAAAGATGTTATGCAATACGTGTATATCTGCAGTGTATAACGCACAAGGAACAAAAATTGCCATCGATGCAAGATGCTACAAACTAGTTCTGAACCAATGTATTTCCGTCTTCTGATGACGGGCATGAGATACAACTAAAGATTTACACGCAATATTCCGAATACTATAACCACGACCATCTGCTAAGAGAAATGTATAAACCAAGGCTGGTATGGTAAACAGGGCAGAAGGCATGCAAGAAGGGGGCGTCCAGACTCGATAAGGAAGAGAAGCACAATGCGATAGTCAAATGCTGAAGAGACAATCTCTTAAAAAGAAAGAGTACCAACCTCTTGCATCTCAATCCTGGTCTAGATCACTTCATTGTAGGAAAGATAATCAAACAAAACTAACGAAGTCCTTCGTCCTTTCAGTCCAGTGCAAGGAGACCTCGGTCCAAGTCCTACTTTACTCTTTTCATTGAAAAAATACAAATGGTAATCTCTGCAGGAAAATTGGTTCAGTACTACCGGTCTTGTTCTCTGGTTACATGAATAAGGCCAGAGCTTCCCACACTCAGTACCACTCCTTTGGCTCTTGTGAATAGTAAGAGAAAAAATATATCAGTATGAACCATGAGCAGTTGTACTCCTTCGTCATTTGGATTATCAACTCGCGACATCTGCTTGACATGGTTATTGCCTATATAGGAAAATCTTTCCTTGTACGCTGCATCCTAGTACTTCTCTTCAGAACTATTGAACAGGTGATCAAAACTCAGTGCTGGTTGAATGAATCGCCTAGCCCGAGCCGAGAACAAATATTACACCTACTAGCACGCCCCAGAGAGGTTGCTATAGACTAACTATGCCAGTTGAAAACACCAGCTTACCGTGACTTAATGAATGATGTGACCTAACTGACTACAGGCAGTGAGTTGCACAACGCTGGTGTAGTGTGTCAATCACTTCCCTGAAAAGTTCAATCCAGCAATAATGCGAGATGAACTTCCGTAATGAATTGAGACTGCGAGAATCATGCAGCTCCTCTGACTAATTAACATAGCCTACTTATCACGTTCTTCAATTCTGGGGAGCTCGCGATCGCGGCAGTCCTACTCTCGTTTATCTTCCTCTACATCATCGTCAAGACTAAAGACATCTGTGTTAACTGGCTTCCTCTCCTTAGAAGCTGCTTTTTCAGCATCAACTGCTACTGTTTTCCCGACTCCGTTAGGTGCTGTCAGGGCTACTGCAGATTCGTCATCGAAATCTTCGCCAACATCCTCAGAATAGGCATATCTGGTACAAAGTTAATTGAAAAATGAGGACTCAGCTAAAGAGCAGAGGACATAGACATGGAACAAGCTGAACCATCATTAGGAGCAACAATGGAACTTGATCGAAAGCAAAAGCGGTTCTATTGGCTTGCGGAGCTTAAGGAGTATCTCACCTGGTGGAATTCTGTGAAGGAGCCCAAAGAGCGCAGACAACGCACAGCAACAAGAACGTTAAGATACTCCAGAAAGCAGATATGATCCAGGCGTTTTGCCAGCCCTCACTGTATGAATCAGTGGCCTTGAAGTACAGCTGCACACAGTTGAACACTTTAAGCATTTGCTCTCGAATCTTCTCAAACATCGCATGATAAGATAACCTTTTGCTACATCTGCAACAACTGCGAAAATTATAACACACCTTTTGCTTCAGATCGCTAAAAAATCCACTCTATAGACGTCATACTAATTAAAAGGCTTTATCAACCATCATGACTGTGCAGTTGTGTGATATCTCAAAGTTCAAACGTGTCTTAGCACATCAGGTGTGACAAAGTAAATGCTACAGAAGTTCTACTTTATATTAAACTTTCTCAAAATAAAAATTGAAACTGAGCGGAACTCACCTCATAACCTATCCAGAGGACAGCCACAACCACACCGACGGCCAATGAGTTTGTGAACTTGCGATACAGATCAAGCTTTGCAACCTGCTTCCTTGCCTGGTAAACAACACAAATACATGTAAGAATCCTGTGATAAGTACGACAAATATATTTCATTATTTGAAGCAGAGTCATAACTTTCCTTCGTCAAAAAGGAATGAGATTTATATTAAGAAGATGCCAAATGCTTGAAAAATGAATGAAGCCTGCTGAATAATATGCAGCAAGTTTTTGTTCAACTTCAGAAAGACAAAAGAAACGATAGAAGATACTGTACCTGTAATTTTTCCAAAGTTTTGGACAGGGATGTAAAGATCCAGAGGATGAAGAATGCATCTAGAATCGCCACTGGGAGCACAAGGAAGAGTCGTGCTTTGCCAGAGAGGTCGTTTATTGTGCCCACGTTTTCCACCACGTCCAGAGATTCAGAAGCCAAGAAGTAAGTTCCTCCAAGAAGTAAGACCTTTGAGGTCAAACCGCCGAGGGTGGGTCGAACGACACCGTAACCCATAGATACAACCAAAATTAGTAGACGTGAGACAGTCTTCTTCACCGCCCCTAAAGTAACTGCCCAGATTGTAATGCCCATAGGTCTCAACCCTGTGGTGTTGAAATTGACATACTCAAAATACCACATAGCCATCTCAACCATACCGAGGGCAATGACGACAGTGATACAGTTTTGCAGCTGCAAAATATCCTTCCAGAACCGGAGGTATTGCATGAACCAAAAAAGTCCCAGTACCAAGTAGCAAAGAGAAAGAAAACCATAGAATGTCATCAAAGGTGCCATACGACCGGGCAGATAACCGTAAGGGTTTTTCCACATAGTTTTCCCGCTAACAACTAACCCTGATAGCCTGTCATCGCAGGTGATGAAGTAGAGGGTGTACATGCCCGTCTTGGTGATGTTGACATCTGTGAAAAAAAACTTGGCTTCAAGTTCGGTACCCTGAAAGTAAACTCTTATAGCCAAGGGCCAGTTAGGATCCTCCGCGGATGCACGCTTTATCACTTCGTTCTCAGGGCACCCGATTTCTTTCGACAAGTCTTTGGAGCAGCAAAAAGCGCGCTGGTCATGTACTCGACCTCCAATCTTGTCCATATCCGCAACTTCAAAGATAATGGCTTCAACAAGACCGGTGTTTTCATCCTTAGGACTGAAGCTCAATACTGATTCTGGTGTCCTCCGGAACGTAAGAGAATTATCGAACCTGTGGATAAGAGTGCATCGATGAGGACAAGAAGCTGACAATGATCGTCAAGATGAATGTATGATCACTGCTGTTATCCCCTTTCTTCCTTGGAAAACGTCTTCTCTCATCAGTTAAGCTCGAACAACCCAAAAACTTTGGGCAGCAAGAACCAACGGCAAATCTACCACTGTCCAGCATTCTAGAACCTCTCAGTGAACAAAAATGTCATCTCCAAAAAATCAGATCTACAGATCAAAGAACACTCGAGTCTTGATTCACAGAACAGATTTTATAAAGGTGGCAGGTATCGTGGAAGATTTTGCAAAAGAAATTAGCATAAACTGGCATAAAGATAAGAATATAAATCATGATGCAGACGAGAAATAGTAATTGGCTCACTATTGAAATTCGACCATTAATCCGAGGAAAATGTCCAAGATCTACGTAATACGGGCCGTGGACTTGCCTTATGTAAGACTTTCCATTCGCCACCCCGGAACCCTGGGCATTCGCAGACGTGGCGTAGAGACCCTCACTGCCACCGTAAAGCATGTAGGCATTTCCTTTCTGCGCAAGTCCAACATTATTGTACTCGTGCACGGATCCCTCGGCCACCCTCTGCATAGACAGAAGTAGGCAGACAGCTGCCGCTGCTATGAACCATACCTTCGTCATTGCTGACACCTGCCAAGAACGAAGCTTAAGTGAGCGACATCTATCAACGTACCTGCATTGGCTTGGAAGCTGATGAACTTGACATATTCAATTCGTGATGAAAGCCGTGAAAGATGAGGCAAACCAGGAAATTGGATGCACTAAGTCACTCAGAAACTGTTGAAATGAAAAAAACAAGAAAAACGAGCGAACGAACGAAAAACTCTCGAAAGAAACAAGATGCATAGAAGGACAAGGAAAGAAAGGTATCGGGACGTTAACGGTAAGCGAGGAATAATGGGAAGGAGAGAAGAACGAATGAGATCTACAGATAGAGCTAGGAAACAGATCTAGTTTTTATGAAAAAGAAAACAGCACTCAATGATCGGTGCGCACGATGAAAAATGGATTGGCAACCTCGCGGCCGTAATTAGTAAACCTCACACTCCTTCACAGGCGAAGAGATCTAAAGAATGCGGGATTATTCCCGCAGGCAATTCTTGCACGGTAAACAAAGGACGAAGAAGGCAATGTGCGAGACTCAACAAGACGAGAATTAAGCAATCAAATCGCAACCGTTACAACCACTACGACGATGAAGCAGCGGGACAAGGCCAGACATGTGCGCGAGCGACACCACGAATTCAACACGTTCAGAATGGGAAAATCACCTGGCGCCCCCACTCGCCTGCTGGGAGATCGATCTTGAGCGAGTCAAGGCCAGTTGCAAGGCCAGTGCAGCGCAGGGAGATTGAGCGAGACCACAGGCGGCAGCAAGGATGATCTGCCCTCTGCGTCGCCCCCTACTCTTGGTAAGAACACTCTCGTCTCTTTCTCGCTCGGTCCTCCCTCGGCCTCCGCTTTTGTCTGCCAAGACCAGCGAGAGAGGGAGAGGGGGAGAGAGAGAGAGAGAGAGAGAGAGAGGAGCTTGCTGTTGGGAGCAAGACCTCCTATGAATGATTGACGCCAGCTCAGCTGGCAATTGTAGTGCTCGTAGTCATGTCGTATTCCCGGAATATAGTCGTAGTGTGTCCGTTACGGTGGTGTGCTGCGCTCGCGCGGGTCCGGTTCGGGATCCTGGGACCTGCGGGATGGCATCGGGGGATGGTGGGGTGGGACCGCGGGGAGCGCTCCGAAAACCAACAAAGCTCGGCTACTCCTCCGGGACACGAGGGATGCTGTCCGTCTTGTCGTCTCACGTTGCCCTCGTCATGTTCCCCACCTCAACCATCGTGCGCCCGCGGAGCCCCAAAAGTCTCCCTCGCGTACCATCCCCTCCCCTCGATCGCACTTCGGCTCTTTTCCTGCCCCCGGTCGCGTCCAGTCGCGTCGCCCGGCTGCCGGCACGTCGCGGACGGCCAGGCGACGGGCTTCGATCGGACGGCCTCCGGGCTCCATCGCGATCGCGACGCGGTGTTGGCGGACCGGTGTTTGAACCCGGTTCCGAATCGCGTGGGGCGTGACGAACGAAGAGCATGAGATCGTGGGACACCACCGGCGCGAAGACACGGAGACGGGGAATAAGTCGACGGAAGGGACGGGCCACCGGAGGGGACGAGGACGGGAACCGGTACCAGGCGCAAGATAGGCGTCGGCACTGGGTAGATGAAACTCTTAATTGCGGGGGCCCGTCGTGACGGAAGTGGAGACACGCTTGTTTCTTCTTCGGAGCCTTGGGAGATTCGTTTGGGTTGGGTGCGTCACGTTGCTTCCAACCTTGCGCTCGATCCGACGGCGGATTCGAGCGTGCGCGGGGATGGGCGAGGAGGGAGCCGGAGACATGCAGCGGCACCTTTCGCCTCATGCGAAAAGCACCGGCATCGGCCCATCTCCGAGTTCCGTTCTGGGAGTCTCCTGCAGAGGCTGGCCAGTCCTGTCAGACGCCTGCTGCATCATGCCCGTGCTCCGTCTAAATCTGCAGACTGGGCACGAGCTGCCGGCTGACGTCCCAGGGGGAGTGCAGAGTCCATGGCCCGGACGGGTGGATCTATCGCATCTTGCTTGCTTGCAGATTCTTGTTTTGTTTTCTTCTTGAGCAAACAGTCAACCTTCGCTTTTCGCGGATTGGGCTTATTATACGCGGATTCTTCGCTCTGCGAGAAGGCAGGCAGGCAGGCACAGCTCTGTTGGTGCCCGCTGATTCGCCTAACCCTCTCCTTCTTCAGCCCTGTCATGTCGTCACGGCGACACGCAGATCGCACTACTTCCTGGATGGGCGACCGGCTGTTGGTTTCCCATGTCGTAGGGTATACCCTGCTTTGGGGCAGTATACTGACTCTTCACATCCTCACAGCTATTTCCTGAAGCACAGCTCGGATGAAACATTGGAGCTCGGTGGAAATATCAGAAAAGTTTCTTGGAATTTCCAGAGTTGTCTGTGAATTGTGCTTAATCTGAATATGTCCGATAACAATCGGAGTTGACATGTCTTGCACTCACCACGTGAGTTTTTGTACGCTCATGCACAAGCTCATGAGACTTGAGGTCTCCTGCCTCTAGAAACCTGTATCTTTGCTGGTGCTAAAGGGCATTCGTCCTCGACTAAGGCTATTCTCGCCGAACGGAGGCGCCGTTCATCTCCCTCTGCTGTGGTTCTCACCCAACCTACAAGGTGGACGAATCGCCGGCATCTTGCAGCCACCAGATCTTCTTCGCGGCCAGCCCGACTCTAAGCATCTGGTGAGGCATCTGTTCTTGGTTGCTCGTACCACTCATTCTCCTTCCGCGTTAAAAAGTAAGCCTCTGCAAGTGGTCAGTCATGGAAGGCCGTTAAACTTCGTGGCAGTGAATCGTTGAAATTAGGTGTATATGTGTTCTTGTGCCTCGAAGGCAGAATCATGCCAGAGAGGCCGACCATGACGATGGCAAAGTCACATATGTATAGACATATGTGACGCAGAGATGTACGGCGGCATTCACAATAATCTACGGAGAACAGCGACACTGACCAGAGATGAAAACATTGCTGTATTGCTCTTCCTCGTACAGAAACTCGGGAGGTTGTGAATCGCCAACACCCACTATTGTGCTTCCACTGTTGCCACTCAAAAGACAAACAAACAGGGGATTAGAAGCTTTCAGTCAACTCGTGGTCCTCAGCACCGTAGGCATCCTGCAACTGAGTGCTGCATCTCCATTCCGAAAGCACCTAAAAAACCCTTCAAAACTGTTCCCAAAAGACTCGTAAGTTCTTCGAAAGGAACCAAACGCGTACTTGCAAACGAAGGAAATAATTTGCTTGCACATTCTTTCAAAGTACCAACATCCATCGACGACTCCTGCTCCTACTTCCCTGGAAGCCAAGACCTAGTGGTGCTCACTGTAATCAGCCTACGTTTGTATTACTCATGTGCGAGGTATACTCAAGGTATGCATGGTGCAAAGAGTTTCCTTCAGTGCTGGACTCTTAGATGGATGGTTGAGAAAGGAGTGCCCACCTTCCGGACATGAAAACAGCCTGATAACGACCACGCGAAGCTGCAGCTATTCGTTGTTTGAGCAGCTTTAAAGAGGGCAAAACTTTGAAGGCAGGGGTCTCTGCATCACAGACCCGAAGCGCTCTGGTGGATTTTAGAAATAACTTCGCTGTCTATAAGCATTGTAAGTTTGACGAGACTATAATATAATTTCAGATATTAAATTCACAGGTTTCTGTCGACAGTTGAGAGAATCAGCACGGCCAAGGAAATCACGGGCTTGCTTTCATACCAAGATCATTTATGCAAACACTCTGCGTGATTCCATTCTTCATGACGTCGTTTAACAGCTCCTGGGGATCCGCGGAACTGCAATCCTCCAGTCGAAGGAGCTGGCCACAAAACATCATGAGATTAGAATCAGCAACCTGCGCCTTACTTTAGAGTCGTCAGACTTCCTGCACTGCGTCCGATGGAAAACGACACTCGGTAAACCTCCAACTTTTCTGTTTTGAACAATCCAATAATTTCTTCATACAGCAACCTATTGAAAGGATGAAATACAATATATCCGCTATGTCACATGAACGTGCGATCGGTGAGACGTAGTTGTCCAACCTTATATACATCCGCTGTGCCACACTCTTCTTGTGGCTTCATGAGTACCATAGGCGTCGATAGTGAGATAGAAGGAACACTCTCCACAACCTGCCAGATAGGCATTGAAACGTTCAACAAATGGTAGAGCAACCCTTCTCTTGATTCATCTCTCGTCTCACCAGTTTCCAACAAATTTGTAACCCGATGATCAACCTGCACCAGATCTCAAGTATCGCTGAGCAAGTGCAACTTCTGAAGATTTGGCTGGTCAAGTGAAAAACCTCTCCCCTGCTAGTGCAGTACGCAGCTCCGGTGGAAAAAAAGAAGGGTACGTCAGACCCAATTTCCCCAGACCACTCTTGCAGTTCCTTCTCGCTGGCTAGACCACCATTCAACTGGTTCGCAGCCCATAAAGCAGTTGCTGCATTTCCACTACCACCTCCAAGACCAGCTCCCGTTGGCACCCGTTTATCCAAGTGAATCTGCAGCAGGAGAAACCCGTAAGTCGTAGGAGAACCTTCGAATCTTAATGAAAATATTGTAATTACCTCATGATAATATTTCAGGTTCCAAAAGAATGAAGCAGACATCCGAGCTCCATCGCAAACTTGATGCAAAGCCAAGAGATCCAAGAACTCAGATCTGCGTGTTTAAAAAGTACCCAGAAGTACATGGTGGAGCCAGTCTTTTTGCGATACAGATTCAAGGCTTTAATGATCTGCAAACATGGTCAAGCCGGAGAACACAGCATAAGGCAACATAGTCCTCGAGCTTCAAACGCATTTTTAAAGCAATAAGAAGGGGGCTAGTGTGAGTGAATGACCAGCTTTCAATTCTAAACGCTAGATTATGCTGACGATATTAACAAAAATTGAGAGGAACCGTTTCTCACCAAATTTTTCTCATCGAGAGGTACACCAAGGGCATTGGTGGTGAGGGAATCTTTGGTTGTCGAAGGAGAAACTGAGAATTTAATAATATCTCCTAAGCTGATGACCTGAAGGTAACAGTCTCTGGTTTTAAAGTCCGGACGTAAAACTAGAAACATTAAACACGAAATTACACGAGCTGACCAAACTCCTCAAATATGCAAATTTGGGGCGGTACGTGGTTTGAGGTGAAAGATCTCATACATGAAACAAAGAGGCGAGGTCATGATAACCATCTGGTCTCTTGGCAGTGATTCTCAGAAACACATTTATCTGCAGGAACAGAAAACGCTGAGAATACAGCGCATGGCTTTCGCAGAATTTCCGTTGATATTTGAAAGCTAAAGCAAACTCCCTTGGATTACCTTGGAGCAAAAAGTAAAGGCATGTATTACCTTGGAAGGTGAGAAGAGAGTGATATTTGTCCGCGGCATGGATCCTGAGTTCTGCAAGCCACTCAGGAGTTCATTGTACCGTCCCTGAGGATCAAACACAACCTGCGGAATGTGCAAGGGAAAATGCTGTCATCAGGCAGGTTACTTAGAGAAAGACCTAAGCCAAGAGACTTTTCCTGCCAACAAGACGAACTCCTGTCTCAACCTGGTACCCATTCGCAACGACACCACTTCAATATCTGGAAGAAGTCATCATCGGTCAGTCGGTAAAAGAGGAATTTCCTCGTCAATGCGAAGAAAGTCTTCGGTGTTCAGGAACACGTCTCGACGTCAAAATACTTACCCGTTTAACTCTGACTGCTATCTCATAGCAACTAAGAAGACTGGTTGGGAAGTTCAGTATCTCACAGCAAGCGACATTGATTGATGAACAAGGAGTCAGCCCAAGTACCAAAATCGACACAGATTACCATGTCCGATGTGGCTACACAGGCAGTGAAGGGAGAGCCTGCGATTGTACTCGTGATTTCTAGTTACTCGTATACTTCCAGCATTTACATTGCTGTTGAACAGAATGCAGGGCACTGAGATGTTCTACAACAACAATCAGATTGAGCAGATTCAACCGGAACACGTAGGGACTGGCTTTGCTGATTTGAAGAGATTTGAGCGGGCTGTCAAAATTATCAGCGAAAAGTACACTTCTTACAGCGGTCACTATCCTCGGATTCATTTCTTTGCGATGGTCGAATTGAGTCGCTTGGCTGGGGAGTTACGATGTCACGCAAAACCTGCCCTGCCATTAAAAAAAAATACACCTTACCAAGAGGACGAAAGTAGAGAAAACCTTCATGCCCTGTGGCCGCTGAAGACAGCAGCAATTCCTCGCATGAGGGATTTATAAGCGTACTCCCAATACTTCCCTCCAATTTAAGAAACCAAAAACCTCAGTCAGCGCAGCAGTGCGTTACCTCAATTTTTTCTTCACTAGTCTTCGATTCCGACGAACAACAAACTACTCGAAACCTGCAGCATCCTGGACTAGCTGCAAGTGAGCTCGGATCCGATTTTTTTGTTGATAAGAATCGAAATCCATGTTTCACCGAGAGGGACGGAAGCTGTGAACCGCATTTCAACCGGCCGCTGACGACTCCCCTCGACACAGGAGCTCTGGAGAACCGGTTTCCCGAGGAGCAAACCGCGACAGGACCACCGGCAAGTGCACCCAACGCCATAGCTACTACGCCCAACCCAAATCTGCTATGCACCTTATATAAAATTAAGACCTCTCGCGTCTCCTGAGGAGGTAAAAAGACTCCTACTCCACTCGACCAAAATTGTAGTTCCGCTTATGTTCGACCTCGCAATCATTTGTCCAGGACACTCTCTATCGTTCTCTCGCTCTGTCTCAATAAAATCCACCCAAATCTCAATCCGGTGAAATTCGTCTGCTGCTGAGCCCGAGATGTCGCCCGGACCTGAAAAACAATTCTAGTCCTGTAGGTAGTCTCGTTGTTCCAAGTCTGTAGTATCTTCACGGATGCTCCATTATTCATCCCGTGATTTGGTCGACTGTCAACGCATGCAACGATCGAGCACGAGAGTCGCAATTCATGCTCCCAACAATTGTTCGAACGAGAGACGACAGGACAGACTTCCAAATGGGCCCGGTCCCACCCCGCGCCTGCTCTCGACCAATCCAGAGGCCGGACGGGCGGTGGGGCCCCTGGCCGCACTACTCTATCTCTTCTTTACGAATGCCCAAGATATTCCAACCGTCCGATCCAATCCAAGGGTTAGATCTACGGAGTCTTTTAGATGGATTCAACGCTTCTCCCATAACCTCGTGGGCTGGATTGACGTCCATGTTCTGTTCTCTTGGAAGTCGTAGTCTAGTAGGTCACATGGATGTAGTTGGCACACGAGAATTAACAGAGTCATTGCCCATACGACTTCTTTTCATATCTTATAAGTGGTTCCAAGATGAATCGTCGTTTCAACACTTGCTGCGGATTGCACTTTTCCTCGGTAAACATATACATGCCCGGGTGTTATTTTAAATGATTTACTCTGCAAGCTTTGGAGTTTTCTGCCGGAAATGACATATTCAGGGCTTCAGTTTATGTATTATTGTTGGGTCTTTTGTTATGGTGGTGTGATGTGTGCCTGCTTTGTATGTTAGTGGCTTGTACAAACGTTAGGATAGGGAAAAGACATGGTGATGGTGAATATAAAACTTCTTGTTGGTTTCGAAATTACACAATGAACCCAAAGTTTCACTCGGTATATCTTTGATCGCATGCGCAGTCTAAGTGCAGCACAAGGCAGATTTTCCATGTTCAAGATATCGTAGAAAGTCCGCTATAACTGGAAGATTTGCTCTCGTAATTGCGTTAATCGCCACACATGAAAACAACACATCGCATTCACGGAGATTTTGAATTGATATGAGATCTATGAGGTTGCATTTCAGCTTCATAAAATGGCCAGCAATTTTCCATGCGAACCTGACTCCTTCCTACATCTTGCCTCGACAGTATGACTTGTCTTGAAGATGGTTCGTATTGATTTTCAAGATTGAATATTATATCAATCACTTGAATTATTCCAAGTGAGCAGCCAGTTATCACTCACCCTATCTATGAAGTTATACCCCCTAAATCCGGTTAAACTGATCATGTTTTTCCATAAGGTAAGTTCTATTCGCACAATACATGTGATGAAAAAATCATTAACACAAAAAGGAGTTAATTACAGACCACACAAATAGAGGTAATCTATGCATGGTCAATCTAGGGCCCTCATATTGAAGATATATAGGGTCAGTCAATGCTGCCCTTGTGATCAAATCACTCATTGTGATTACGATAAGGATTAGATTGTGCTCTGGAATCAAACTTTGATTGTTTATGTTATATATCTGTTAGTGCATTTTTTGAGTATAAAAATCAAAATTCATTACATTGAACCAAAGTTTCATTCACATCGATATGTATTTTTATTTATTTTGAAATTTACATCAAATTTTAAGTCGTAAATATGCATGGTATTGAATCATTACAAATGGAAAACATAGATGGATAGGAAAATTTTGAATTTCTAATATATGCGATACATAATCAATATTTCCGTGTCAAACTTATCCACTCATGGCAAAATAGCCGCAAGATGTTGGATGCATATGTAGGTTCATATATATGTGAATTATCATGATTTGAATGTCATAATTAGCATGCAGCACAGGCGTTCTAAAGGTATACTTCGGACTCATTGTGTATGTTTAGTGCATACAAAACTCGTTTGTGAAGTTTTATATTTATATAATTGAAAATCTGATTCCTTCGTAGCTAGTAAATAAAATTCTTTCACTTTGAAAACAAGAGTCCATATGAAACAAGTTACAAAAGCATGAGAATAGTAGGTTATGTCTCTACAGTATGGTGATAAGATATGTATCAACAAAATTACAAACATTAATATACTTGTATACACCATCACTTAAAATGAAGATATAATTCTAGCCAACTATAAGAAAGAAAAAAATTGGATGAAAATTTTCAAGATGTGTGTGAACATTTCAGTCCTCCTGAAATGTACAATTTGACTTACTCCTCACTGAATATAGACTTGAATTTCATTATACACATACATTATCTCTAGCAACACGTCGTTTAGTACCTATCGATTTTTTTCTAAATTTTTTTAATGTGTAATTAAGAATATTTGTTAGTAACTATTTTTAGCGAATTGCATCATTTTTCATGTTGCTAATTTTCATGGGAATATAGTGACTTGCCGCATGATACAAAATTAAAAGTTTAAAATACGTTAAAACATAATTTAAATGAAATTTCGATGCACCAAACATATAGATTCTAGTTACATAAATAATATATTATATTATCTTCGCTTAACTGGAGTACCAACCTAGCTGCTCAAATTGATTATTTTGAACCTTATTCATCTTTTCTCAGGCTCATGATGAAATTTATCATTCCATTTGCCAATAGCCGGAGTAAGCTAAGCTTTTAAAATATCTTATAAAAGACGACCGTTGAGAGGAGTGAGCTCAGAATAGTTGTGCCGGCAGACACGTCAATTGAAATTACAATCCACGAGCATCTGATGAAGTTCCCACTTTTGATCTGACCGTATCGTTTAGAGAATGCTAACTCTCCGAAGATTTTGGTTGGAAACCTTGAAAAATTTGCCAGAAGTTGCCAGAAGCAATTCTCTCTCTCTCTCTCTCTGTGTCTCTGAGTTCAGTGATTCAGATTCGCATCTGAGCCGGATCAGCGCAGGAGGTGGCTCTTGGGAGCGGGATCGAGAGATACGACATCGACGGCGAGTGGATGGCGTACGCGCCAACGCAGTCCGGAATCGGCGAGGCATTCAGGGGATGCGGTGGGCGTGGATGGTCGGCCGGCGCCAGCGGAGATGGTGGCGAGTCCAGACGCGCACGAAGAAGCTCAGCACGAGGCTCGTGCTCGGAGTCTTCGTGTCTCGTGTCAAACCCTCCTTCCTGCGCAGCGAGTGTGCCACGCAGCAGGATGCCGAGAATGAATCATTTGGAGTGCGGAAATTTGAATTGGGGCTTTGCGCGATTCCGAGGCCAGTACCATGTGGATGCAGAGCAGGGTATCGGACGCCGGGTGCTGCTGTCGGGGACCGACGCGCTCTTCAGGCTGTCCGTCCGTGAACGAGGACTGCGGAGATTTGTGCTCTGCCGAGCGGAGGACCACGACGATGTGCGAAACTGAATCTTGTGTCTTGACTCTTTGCGCGAACCGGCGACGACGAGCGTGTCCGGGAGTTGATCGGGCCTTTGGTCGCAATCATGGGATTGAAGTCCAAAAGGGGCGGGAGGAGGCCTCGAATCGAAGTGAGGTCTAATGTTGACTTCGGCTGGTATGATGGATATCTTGCTGTTGTTAAGGATGACGAAGCCGACCCGGACAAACTTAAAGTGCGCGTGCACTTCACAGATTTTGAGGAGTCGGAGGATGAATTTTGGGGTTTGGAAATTCTCCGGAGCGAATCTGAAATCAGGAAGAGAGTGAGATTGCTTTCGCACCAGCTTCAAGACAAGGAGTGCTTCAAGGTTGCCCAAGGCTTAACCGTTTGCGCTAATTACAAGTCCCCCGACGGCTCTGAATGCAAGTATTATGACGGGGTCGTCACAAAGGTCTGTCGTAGTTTCCCTCTCGCATGGGATTTGTTTTTTTGCAGTCTGCTTCCGTCGTCCTTGCTCTACTTTCTAGAAAAGCAGAACAGCTCCGTAGGTCATAGCTGTGAATCATACACTGGCGCGAATAAGGTAGATTTTTTAGTGTACACTACCTAAAACAGTCGGAAGCGTAGTTGTATTGGAAGTTGTCGTCTGAAATTTCCTCAAGCCGCGTTATTATCTCTTTTAGCTAGTTTCAGATTCATCTGAGCACGACGTGGTGTAACTTCCCAAGTCAATGTGGCCTCCTATGAATTGAGTTTATGCATGCCTTCATGTCTTACAGGTGGTAAAGGCGGCCCATGAGAGGCTTGACCGTGTGGAGATTTGCAACTGTAAATTTTCTATCCGATGGTCGGAAGGGCCTATGAGAGGAACAGAAACCACTTTGAAGTGCCCAGATATATCTTTGATTGTAGCGCGAAATATTGACCATCATCCTGTCGTCAGTGTTCTTCTAAAATTCGCTAAAGACCACCCTGTGGTAACACCCGGAGGACCTCAGGACGTTGAACCCGTGCTCTCTCTGCTTGCCAAGCCCGATGCAAGCCCCCCTGGCCATAAGCTTTCATCGCAGAGGAGTCCAGAGCTGGTACGTATGACTTTTGTGTCCAAATTCCTCATGTCTTTCTTTGTGTTTACAGTTCAACAAATATCACATCTTTGTTTTGTAAAGACGGAGAAGCTTCGGAAGAATGTACAGCATGACTTCAGTATCTTGTTGGAAGGAAATATAGATCTGAACGAGTACAATAGTTGTCTTAAGTGTATGTTTACGTTTTCATGATGCAATTATGAAGTTGAAGAAGATGCTCGGCTGCCTGCTGAAGCTGAAATGTGTCGATTAATACAGCTACGTTCTCTTGTGCACCCAGTTGCAAAACTGGATGCCCACGGTAATTAAAAAACAGGTTGAGGATGATATCCTTAAAGGAGAAATTTATATCTGTATCTTGATGTTCCGTAGAGCTCGATCTTAGTCGTCAACAACTCTATCCTTCTAAGCCACGTGCATGGAACACGAATGAGTTTTACGTCGATCTAATAATTAGAAAGCCCAACGTTAAACAAATGTAGTTCAAACCAGGATTCTCGAGTGTTACAGAATTTGTTTACGTGGGGTACTGGCTCTCACCAAGCCACTTTTACGCCATGTTGGGCGCTGATGTAGTTTGCTGTTGCCAGAGCATGAATGAAACGTCTCCGGAACTCTATTGCAGCGAACGGGTGTGATATGGCAGAAGCATATGTAGATTTGTAGATAATTTTATTTTGCAAGATAGTCAAACCAAGACGTAACAAGTTGAGTGAGAAATTCCCTGGTGTCTTCGAAAGTGACGAATTAGTCGTCTCAGACCAGCTTCATTTTCTTGTTAACTTTTCTGCTAAACATCAAGTATCTCTTTTGGAAGTGCAGGAACTTGAAGTCTCACTAGAGGAAGAGCTTGAGGCTGAAGAGGTACGAGAGCAAGAAAATACAGAAGATGGTAATCTTGAGATTAATGAGGAAAGGAAACAACAGGAAAGCTTAGACGAGGAGGGAGCAAGGAATACCGAACAAGAGAGTCTGAGAGAGGAGACGCTTGAGGTTGAAGCCATACAGGAATGGGAAAGCACTAGAATATCGGACCTTGAGGCTGTTAAGGTGAAGGTACCGGAACAGGTTCGAGATAAGGTGGACAATTTTGAAATACAAGAGGTCCAGGAGGTGGGGGTCTTGAGAGAAGAAGAACCTGAAAACCAGGAGTATCCGGAGCAGGAGTTAAATTTGAAGCCCCAAGGACAAGAGAGTCAGATTAACGATGTTGGCTTAGAAGATGAGGAGCAGGACGAAAATCCCGGTGTGGATTACATGGAATTAGATTGGGATGAGGAGCTTTTAGTGGAAAAATTGATGGACGAATCCAATTTACATTACAGAGCATGTGATGATGAAATCCTAGACCTTCCCAGTGATGTTGCAGAACATTTGAAAAATTTTCAGTTAGTTCAAGACTGTCTAGCTAAAGAAACTCTTGAACTTGAGAAGTTTTTAAATAAACAAAGCAAATCTTGACAACTTAAGAGTGCAGCGCAGTTTCTCTCATCCAAAAGGTATGAGAGAAACTGAGTCGTATGAGCTTTGGTCGAGAGGAATGCTCACGAGAGATAACTGCTGGATCAGTACTTGCAGGAGGTGATTGAGGTTGATAAGATGAGATTCTAGATAACAAATTAATGGTTATAAAGCGGAAGCACGCAAGACAATCATGCACGAATGATCCTAGGGATACTGGCGTAAGATGACAGCATCCTAATGCGAATCAGGAGTTTAATCTCCTCGGGATGCCTTAACGGAACACTTTGCGAAGCTCCCCACACTGTATAAACCGCAGTACAGTCAACTTTTCACGCAATGTAGAAATGGGAGTGTAGAACAATTGGTCCAGCAATTCTGACAATCATGGTACACGATGAGATGCCAAACTGCATCTCAGTACTGAACAAAATCCGCTGATGGTTGAACTCCGGACGCGACAGCGGGTGTAGATTGGTCTCGCTGAAAAACTAGAGCGTCAACCCACTGCGGAAAGCTATCTATCTCTACGGACAGGTCTGACGAAGTTACACACATCACACCAATTTTACTCCATAGCTTGGATAAAACATTTTAAGCCTTTGAGAGCATTCCCTCATGTGCGGAAGGTACAGACACTGCAAGCTTCAAACGGTAGAACACGGAGGTAAGATAAAAATGTTTCGTGCAACTGTCTGATGTAAGGTATTTTGGCGAATGTCACTTGGAGTTAAAAATAATTTGATACATGTATCGTCTGCACTCAGAGCGAAAAATCGTCTCCGAGAAATTCTCATCGTAGACAGAAAACAAGAATGGTTCATTAAGAAAGAGTAAACCATGTATTATACAGACAATCTCAGTAGTGCCCGCTGGTTGTCTATGTCCTTGCTCACCTCATTCTCGGTGAACGAAAATTTCACCTGCCTGCTTTACGTTACGAATCGCGCCTTCGTGAATCATTTGAAAGGGAGTTCAAGGTTTTGACATGCGCCAAAGTGAATAAATGACTTCCTGCAAGACTCATCCAAGTGAGGGAATGATTGATTAGTGATGAAGGTAGGTGTGACACCGTCCTAGTGATTAAGGTACGCGTTACATCGCTGACATGATGAGGGGGCATTTAGGCCATGTGTCGTGATTTATGTGAGGACAACCTAAGAACTGTAGACTGAGCGCGTGAAAGAAACAACTGCATATTCTTCGAAGTCACTGTAAGACGTCCTACGTTGCAGCTTTTATAGGAAAACAAGAACGAATTATGTTCCACCGTGAACTGAAGTGGTTGAAGGACTTCGTTACGTGAAACTGAAAAGTACGATCTCCGTACATGGACATGGAGATCAAACGTCGTAGTTCGTTAGAATACGTATACATATTTAGCCTTTTTTTTCCTCTAAGAAATTATTTTTCCAAATAATTTCATCTGAAGGTGGAGGTTTCATCTCAGCTCTGCTCTAACGCAAAGCAAGATTTACGCGATCTGCGCTGGTTCCACACCGATCTTGAACGTTGAATATTCTTGACATCTGGATGGTTTTATAAGTGTGACCATAAGTCCTGGTTCAGAATGTTCTGAGATACTCCAAACTCACAGTTGAAAAGGAACCACGAAAGACGACAGTGCGTATTTCGACGCACTGTCGTCTTTCGAGCTTCAATTCACCGCCAGGTCAAGCCTGGGAGCTGAGTGTGTAGAGTGCAGTACACAGTCAAGAAAGTACAACTCTTGACAGCGACGTATCGGATTCAGTATCATTTCCAACATTCAGAGACAATCACCATGTTGAACAGGTATCTAAATGTACCTCGCACTTTTAACTATGAATTCTAAGTCGGAAAATGTGAGATGGAACATTTGGTGCATCAAAATCTATCGACTGGATTAAAAACGTTGTGACGAGTATCTCCATTTAAAAAAGTTTAGTGCTTCTGATATGTGACTGAGAATTCCAAACTTTTTGCACTGAATGTCCTTCGTCTGAATCTTCATATGAATTAGTGAATGATGAGAGGAGATAACCCTGACATAGCCGGACTTGTGGAGCATAGATGGATTATTTCAATTGCACTTGAAGTACATTATATATGTTCTTAACATGCTAGCTCTATGTCATGTTAATGTTTTCAAAAGGCATTCCAGTGATGTAAAGCATGATCATTGTAAGCTCAAGAGTCGCTGGATTGTGTGAAGAATATTATTTACTTAACACATAATATCGAGATGGTTTCAATTCAGACAACAAAATTGGAGGCAATTGTCAACTAAATGGTTATTATGATGGGTACTTTTTTATCCCAATTTAGTTGACTTGGCGTTTATTCAACAAAAGATGGACTGTTCGTATAGTTCAAGAAAGCATATTTCCAGTATCTTGTTGACATTATACTGCTATGCTTTCATTCTATGTATATGATTATTGATAGAAGATAAATATGTGGCTTGTCATCCACTGATACCAAACCACTGAAACGAAGGTGGCTTGCATATTTCAGATAAAGACATGTCACATAGGAGTTGATAGTTTCAGATAAGTTCTACTGCCTTTACAACCATGAAAAATCAAGATTCGAGATAGACGTGAGGAGATAATCAAAACATCATGAAACATGCGAATCAATTCACTTGGATTCTAATGTAAATATCCATTAAATCTTTGGATGCAACATCCATGCAAATTATCATCCAGAAAAACGTAAGCATGTGCAATTGATGAAACAACTTCCACAATAATGGCTGCTACATTAGTGGAATAGACAGAAGTTATAGAGATCGGCCTCAGAGGAGCAGCCAGTAGCTCGAAATCTCTGAGGAAAAAGAAAACGGTCTCGGCAGATTTCTGCAGACCTGCCATGGCTGAGTTTGGACCTTTAGACAAGTGCAAATGTCCTGGAGCTTTCTGACCATTGGGCTCTCTAACTCATCTTACGAAATGTCCATTGCTGGAGCATGTTATACACGTAACAAATGAAGGGATGAGGTGAATTCATACTTCTGAACATATCAGGATTGTCAGGAGGAAAGCCGAATTAGACTCGAAATCGCCTGCATTGGTTGAACTCTCCAGGATTTTTTCCCCATTCACATAAGCTCGCGCATGCGAATTAAACACTTATGTTTAAATGTTCTTGAAATGTTCATCCAGGACGATGGAGAGAGAGAGAACTAGTCTCGTTGTTTGCATTCCGCCTGATCTATCCACCTATCTCCGACAACCATAATACCGGTGCCGGAACAGTGTCTAAGAACATGCGCACAAACTTCTCATTCCGATTACCGTTGTAGCTTCAGTGATATACAACCAGCAAGAATCAGTATTTCAAATTGAATGTGCATATACACAGTTAATGTGTTCGTACTCAAGAACCGAGTCAGGCACTCAGAACGAGTAATTTTAGAGCCGATGTGAAGGAAGCGCGTATACGCGTTTCAAAATTCGAATTCAGGGCAGAATTAAATGCCACCCTTGTCGGCAGAGAATTCATCGGAAAACGAGCAACCATCCTAGCTCCATCGACATTTATCATACATGGTGCGATGGAACATCTGTGTCAAAGAGTTGACAGTCTCACGACTGTGAACTCCATCGGGCAGGTCATGAATCAAGTTCCATACATGAAACGAAAGCATGAAACGAGTCGGCTACGTTACGCTCCCTGATTGCGCTAATGAACATACACAGGTAACACAGAATTCGGAAGTCTTAGTAATTTAAGTGTAAAAAATCTGCTAGTCACATTTCTTTTCCGACATAGAACGTGTGGTACACTACTTAAACTACGACTCAAAATTTAACATACTGCGACGTATTCACTTTCGATAAGCGAAATTGTCCACCCTTTTCAACTCCATTAGTTATCCGTGCTGAATGATCACGAGTTGGATCCCAGCTGAACACGCATGGACTACATTGAGGCAGCTTTAATCAGACTGCGCGTCAATGACAGCGAGGACAGAATGGAATCTACACGATCAACATCGCAACTATCAGAATCAACCCAAACGATACCGGCAAAGATGTCGATGTGGACAACGTTGGAGCTGCCGCCGGTAGTGTGATCGGGTTACTTTCCCCTGGCGTGGTCGGGGACGAGCTGGATGACGGTGGAGAAGGTGGGCCTGCAGTGGGGACTCCTGACGGAGCCTCTCCAGGAGAGGGAGCAGATACACCTTCGTTGAAAAGATAATCGTTCAGTACTGAGTTTATCCCGTGGACCGCGACTGTGCTATCACTGTACAAATCTGGTACGACAATCATAGCATTGTCCAGTGAATAATTGAAGCGAAGGTTGCTAGTCACCACTACTGTCTCACTGCCAAGAAATGTGGGTAGTCTAGTGCCTACGCTCAGAGTCGAAAGTCTGGAGTACGGTAATAGCTGACGGATCACATGATAATCAATAAACTTTGTCACATTCTTGGGATAACTAGTGCCAGAGAAAGCTTCATCGTTCGGAAGCAGCCAAGTCGTCATGGGAGTCAGATTCTTCATTTGTAGTCCATCAAGGAGACCTGCTATCGCGCCAAATTGCCCAGCATCCCTCAAAGCTTCTATCATGTCGACCACTTGTGGTTGCGGTTTAGCTGCAGGGGCTGGTGCTGGTACGATCGCTGGAGGCGGTAGAGCAGCAGGACTTGGAGGAGCTGTCACTGGAGCGGACGGTGTCGTCGTAGGACTTGGAGCCACAGTAGGTGACTGAGATGAAACCATAAGAAAATCCAAGCATAAGAGGAGCGCGCAAAATATGCCAGGGGCAGCTCTGTAAGATGCCATGCCGACCATGACGTCCACAGAGCTGACCTATTCAAAGTCCTGAAATTTGGAAACAAAAACGAGAGTTACTTTGGAAAAATTATCCACCTGACTTCATTTCCGAATTGCACTACGTACAAGCAAGCGTATGAGTGAAAATGCGAGAAAAGAAGCTATTTCAAGACGAATCTGACTAGTCTTCACACCAGAAGGGGATGTAAATATCTAGGACATTTAGATAGACAAGTAAAGATAAAGCCAAGAAACAATTTGACCGAGGACTGCAACTTTTGCGTGCAATGCTCGAACCAGAATTTTTTGAAGAACTCTGGTTCTGAGACAAACACACGAAATCATTCAGTAAAAGAGCTCTTTCGAAAGATGGAAACTACAGAAACTGCCTCTAGAACAGTACCCGATGTAGAAGGGAAAAAGAAAATGGTATGCAGCGCAAATGACGGCGAAATGTTCGTTCACATTGATCGACATACAACACACAAGTAAATAATGTACTCTACCTCTCGCAGGGGATCCTAATCTGTGACTAAAATAGCAGTGCTGGAATCACTTTAGTTGATCTTGTGCACCGACAAAGACTCGCTCTCAATCGCCGAAAGATCAGTAAGGTCCACATCTGGAGATTACTCGCACTGCATGCAAAATATTATCAAGGAAAGAATGCAGTGGGAGAGAAAACAAATTACCTCTGCCAACGAAAATGCAACGCACAACACCGCTCTGCTCTGCGCCGATCACGTATCGCGAATCGCTATAGACTCCCGACAGTACTCAGATAATTCCAGCACGAGTCGATCAATGAAGCAAGAGACCAGAAGACGAGCGACGACGTCGCAACGAAGTGGGATGAGGAAAGTAATAAAGCAAACAAGAGGAGAAAGTCGATCAGTTCAGATCGGGCTCGGCACTGCTCCGAACTGAGCCGAGAGAAGAAGTGGAGACCCAAGGGCAAAACAGGAAAGAGAATGTCTGGAGACGCAGTCGGTAGAGTCAGAGTCGCATGATCGCAGGAAGGCGATGCCAGTCCAGGCCAGCCGAGCCGAAGGTGAGGGCCGCGCTTCAGTCAGTGCCAGTGTTTGTACTACTCGCCGGGCTCAAGAGCGTGAGCGAGTCACTCTCCCATCGCGCGCGCGGGCGAACCAGGCGCGCCCGATCAGGATGAACTACGAACTTGTACTGTCCGTTGGCCGGGCGCGCCTCCGCCCTCGGCCGCCGTCCGCCGTTGGATCGCCTAGCACACGCCTCACACATACATACGATTCTCGTACAAACCTTGCATACGGCTCGCCGGTCCATACGCCATGCATCATCTGTACTTACTTCAAACACCAGCCCTTCGATCGGGGATCCTCACAACCCCCGCGAGAGAAAGGGGACAGAGAACGAGCATTCCCTGCGCTTTTCCTTTTGCTTCGTCTGTCCGATTCGATGATTGACTCTATGGCGGCAGAACTGTATCGCCGAGTCTCACATGTTCTGCTCTGTCCTCCACTGGACGCAAACAGTCTGCACAGCATTCTTTTTTTGACTCTTGTACAATAAGCGTAGTTTAGACTTTAGAAAAATGCAAAAAGTTGTGTTACGCGAAAAAGACCTTATTCCGATTCTAGCTTACATACTACTCTAGGACCGAGCACGGCTTCGATCAGCCAGCCTTTCGGCCCTTTCTTGGCTACGGTGTCGAGAAGTAAAATGTCCGCACTCCACGCTGAGAAAAACATGTATTCTATTTTTCTCTGAGTTGTCCTGCACGAACCTCTCTTTATCAACTTCAGACCTTGTTTCTTGGTATCGTGGACCTCCACAAGAGTTCTATGTCCTCGCTTCGCATCGTCAGAGTGTACTTCCTCATGAGTTTGTTAGTCCCATTTTACGTGGATATGAGTAATCTTTTTTCCAGAAGATATTATCTGCACGGTTCAGTTCACTTTCTCGCTCTAGTAAGGTAGCTTTTGGGCAATTTAATTTTTCCCTCAAGCTGCTGGGATACTTATACATGCAGTCTTTGATTCGATGGATTCTCACGCGCAAAGCTAACATTCTTGGTAGACTCGTATATGGCACAACAAAGTGGACATGTCCAGATTCCAATCTTCTAAAAGAAGTGGTCTTTGCATTTTGAAGCAGGTAGAAACATGTTCCAAACTCGAAAAGGTTCATTTGTGAATTTTCGCACTTCTTTGGCCCAAATATCAAAAGAAAATAATATTTTAGGAAATTCCAAAGTTTATGCTTCAAAGGGAGAAAGATCGATTCGGCATTGCATATAAAGAAGTCATGCCTTGAAAACAACAAACTCACAACTCACCCTAGTGTCAGCCATCACCACCCTTTTATGCTAGTTGATGTATCATGCCCTAGGCTTTCCTTCGATATTAGTCGATTGTCAGGTTGCTTATTGATCAATCAAAACAGGTGAGCAATGTCATAGGTGCTACAGAGAATCAAGTGTTGAGTATGGACGTTTGATATATATATATATATATATATATATATATATGTTTAAAAAATTAACCTTTAAATTCATCTGAAGTTATGAAATGCCTACAGACAACTGTTCAACATTGGGCATACAATTATAAGATACCAGTACGAACTGGACAGTTATCCAAATTAAACTGGAGCTGAAAGATTGTCCGTCGAAAACTCGTGTGTACAGTAAGTTTTGAACGATGATAACAAGGTCGTTCGTGTAATACTTGTCATATTAAAAACTCATTGAGAAGCACCTTTGGAATCAATTCGTCCTTCTTTAAAATTGTCGTGTCATGCCCGAAAAGACTGTTCAAAAATTGAAGATAAGTAGCAAGTTTGAAAATTTGTCTTCATATAGTATCCTTGCTTTAATCCTCTTCACACAAATTTGCGGACATGTAGATTATATACTCATGTAATTGCCATATGTCTTATGTCTCCAAACTGAATACATGAAAGTCTTTACTAATTTTTCTTTTAGTCACTTACGGAGAAATACTTTTCATCAAGACTCTAAGGGATTTTTCATCTCTTTTTTCACCTTCAAAATTCTCCTTTTGTCTAGACAACATCTCAAGTACAGTATATTCTCATTGAGATTTTTAGGTTCAAGAGAGAGTATATATATATATATATTCCTTTTAATAATCATTTACTAAAATTTTATAAATTAAATGGTCAAAATAGATTGAAAATATCATAACTATTTTAGTTTGAAAAGTATCACACTTGAATTATATTAAAAATATAACAATCTAATCTAAAATTTTAGTAATTTTTTTAAGTAGAAATAAATATATAACATGTTTGATTTTTTCAATTTAAACTTGATATGAATTATTCTCAATAATGCTAAGATTTTAATACTTTCAAACTATTCTAAGAACATCCACCTCATTTTTTAAAATATAAAAGCATGCACAAAGATTGTTCATTTTTCATTTTCAGGAATAACAAATTTTGGTATGAAATATGTAAATCAGAGATATGTAAGATGATTATAAAATTCTAAAATATATGTCATAATTGATAAAAATTAAAATTTTATTTGCACTGTTAGATTTCTTTTGATATTCAAAACTTTTAATGTTTTTGATTATATGTATTTGAAGTTAAACATGAAACTATCCAAGCTCCTCAGTATAAGAACAGGTGAAAAAGTTCTTTGTAACATAATAAGAATCAATCAATCAAAATTATTGTTTATTTACATGAATGAAATTTCAATCAAATTAGTTGCATATATAATGTTTAAACATGAGGTTTTAAACATGTATTAATTTCTATATCATATCTTTGATAAAAAGATGGTATAAAAGCAAATGAAATCAGAAATAATACAAAATTCATAGTAAAAAATATTGCAAGTGAGTATTGTTGATATGATATTTTGTGTATTTGCATGTAATAGTATCAAGTCAGAGCTAAATCAAAACATTAAAAGTATTCAACTCTTAGAAGCATGAACTACAAAAAACTTATAATATCATAAAGAAGGATACATATAGGAAATTCAGCATATGAACTGTTTTTTTTTTCATGATTCAATTATTCATCAAGATTTTACAAATTCACAAATAGATAATTTAAAGCATCAACATAAATTTTAAGTGTGACTTTCTTATTTTTTATTTTGAATTTCATTTGCTTCATAAACATGTACAATTTATTTAGTAAAAAGAATTTTCTAATTATAATTTTGGTGAATTTATCCAAGAGATCAACATATTTTTTGAACTTACTTGAATTTTTGATTTTATGAAATTTTAGATGTAACACAATATTTTTTACATATATTTACTACATGTAATTCTATTGATATCAAACCTTTTTCATTTTTCCAAAACGGTTAGTTTTGCACATCATTTTTTATATTATTTAGTTGTAATGTATAACTTAATTATTTTCAACTTGAATTTAGTTATTTTAATTATTTTTCATATTACTAGTTATTTTTATTCATAAAAAAATAATTTATAAATACACGCATTGTTTTAAAAAATGTATTAATTTTTTTAAATTTGAAACATATATGTTAATACTTTTTTAGCTTTTGAAAATTTTTACTCTTTGTGATTTTTGTAAAGAGAATTTATGATTGTCTAAAGTATTGTTATGATGGTTTAAAAAATAAAAATTGATGGTGTTGATTGTCAAATTATAAGTTTTGTTATTTGAGATTCTTCAATTATCATTCAATAAACATAAACATCACAAGCTATGAAATTGTCAATTATTATCAATAATTAATTTGCGCCAATTATAAATTATGTCATTGTACATCATAAATTAAAAAATTTATCACATTGAACCTTTTTATATCATCAAATTTCAAATTTTTAGTATTTCCGATTCCATATTTTTTTGTTCATTGATTGTCAATTTTGTATATTGTTAAAAAAAATTAATTGAGTAATTTTGTATGAAACAGATATTTTACATTTTATACTTCTTGATCAAATCAAAAAAATTAACAATCAGATTCTTTAAAATTTATAAATTAACTTACATAAGTTAATTGAATGTATAGATATAGTTACATTGTAGTTGTTATGTCAACAATTCATATGTTTGTTACTTTAGGATTGAGTAGTTTAGTTCAAAATGACACGTGAGCAATTCATGTGATGATTAGGTTTATGTACCACGTCATACTGTTAGGAGTAAAATAGATAATAAAAGTGACATACATTTTTTTATATATGTTGGTAAGATACATATAAAGAAGAGTATAATCATTTTAGATATTATCTCATCTTCAAAGTTGTGTTTCATTTTTGAGTGAACTTTTATTTTAATCTCTAGTATTACAATGGTGTGGATTGGTGTTCATGAATATCAAAAAAGTGATGATAGTTTTAATTCTTGATGTGTATGATGACTAGCACAATTTACTGTAAAGTATGTCAAAAGAAGAAAAGAGTAAATTATGATTTTCAAAAATTAAGATACATTGAAAAAATTCAAAATCTCAATATAATGTATCTTCAATCTTTGTGATATTCATCTTTGTTTTATGAAAAAAACATCATAATTGAATGTACATTGTGACATATTGAAATGCAAATTTTATTATTAGATTGATGAAGTCGAAATTGTCATTGAAATTTTTAATTGTCAGTTACGAAGATTGTATCATCTACATTTTACATCTAATGTTTGATGTATATGAATTGTAAATAATCTCTTCTATTCAAATCAAAATGCATGTAGAGATTAGAACAATATATAGCATAAAAAAGAGTGAAAATATTTTTTTTGTGAAAAATTATGGTGTAAAATATTATGAAGTTGTTATAATCACTTCTACTTTTAGGGATTACTTTTTTGAAAGTTAGTATAGTTATCATACTTAACTTGTATTAAATTGAGAGAAAAAACATGGAGACATTACTTGACATAGAATAAGGTACTAGATTTTATAATGGCTAAGATGAAGGGGATGAAAAAAATGTAATTTATGTAACTACAAAGTGATAAGTCATAGAAGATAAGATTTTTGCATTATTAAGGGAGAAGGGGAAAAACAAGTCGGAGAGATGGAGGTTGAAACTTTGGTATCAAAGATTCAAGTTAAATGGGATTCAAAATCTATGAATCTTGTAGAGTCGAGTAGTAGTCAGCTCCACAAGATTGAAAATCTTTTGATTCAAATGAAA